TGAGCTATGGCTCAGCAGAAACACAGCAGCTAAAGTCTTTGAAACTTTCTCATTGCAGTTCCATAGTCTAAGCACCGCCGTTGGATATTCGGCCTCTACAGCTGCCATGGACTGGATCCGCATCTCAGCCATGGAGACAGGCAGGCAAACAGGTGTGTCTGCTGAGATGTTCACCATGCCTTGAGGTCTGGAGGCCAGCAACAAGGATGGAATCCCAGAGGATCTAGATGGGAACTTGGAAGAACCCATGGATCAGGAAGGTAAGCTCAGGAGTCGGGACGTTATGGACCTCACAGCAGATGACAAGGAAGCCTCAGCCTCAGGTCCTCCTGCATCCAAAAGACTGAAAACAGATACCAAAGGAAAGAAGGAGAGGAAGCCCACGGTGGATGAAGATGAGGCTCAGAGGATGACAAACCTCCTGTCTGCTATGTCTGAGGAGCAGCTGGCCCGCTATGAGGTGTGTCGCCGGTCAGCTTTCCCAAAAACACGCATTGCAAATCTGATGCAGTCTATCACTGGCAGGTCAGTGCCTGAGAACGTGACCATTGCTATGGCTGGAATAGCCAAGGTCTTGGTGGGAGAGGTGGTGGAAGAGGCCCTGGACGTGTGTGAGATGTGGGGAGAAACGCCCCCGCTGCAGCCCAGGCATTTGAGGGAGGCTGTTCGCAGGTTAAAGTCCAAGGGCCTCTTCCCCAACACCAAGTACAAGAAAATCATGTTCTTCTAGGCCCAAGGCCAGAGGGAAAGGTCTGTTTGTGCAGGAAGAAGTACTGCATCCATCTTCTTATGACAGGACTGTGTTTGCTGGAGCTCCTGCCTCTCAGTCTACCCCGGATTTACCCATGGTTTTCATGTCTTTCTCAAACTCTGACATTGGCCTTCCCAAGATGAAGACAATGGCTTGTTTTGTAATCACTTTGACTAAATATTTGGGCTTCCTAGGGCATATAGAGGCATTTTTCCGTGTCTTCCTAATTGGAAGAAGATAGGTGCATGGCCTGGAGTTTTCTGTGGGCAGGGAGATGCTTTCAGAGAGGGGACTTGTACAGTTTCACACTGAAGCCTGGAGCTGCTGTATCTTAGCTTTTGTCATTATATCTGGTTTCAGTAAGTGAAGCCTGCAGAGAGTCTTTTCTCTTGTTATTCTGCCCCGAAGGCTGTGTCCTGAGCAGGGGCACTGCAACGGCTGTCTTTGTGTGTATTTTACATTCTTGCATGCGTTTTTTTTTGAGTCATCATTGAACTGTTTCCAATCTGAGGAAATAAAAGCAAAGTCATGAAGTGTCATTTTTTCTTATTTGACTGTTCTCATATTCCTCCCTACTTTGCTTTATGTCAGTAAGTGATCTTCTGTATTATTGGAAATTAACCTAGCATAGGAGAATCCTATAAGACTAGAGAGAGAGAATGTCCTCACACATTCAAAATCTTCTCAGTATTTAATATATAGCCACATTTCTCTAGAAGGAAATTTGCAGTAAGTTATATCTTTCCAGGAAAAAATCTTTGACAGCTTTCATGGCTGGTTGTATTACATGTTTATAACAATGTAAGTTTTCCTGGAGCTTCATTGCCATTCTTAAAGCCTATCTCATAATGTACATTTGGTGACTGCCTAGACAAATGTGGTCTCTGGTTGGAGCTGGTGAGGTAGTGAGGAGATGACCAACAAATGGAAGGACTGCACCTTACAGTGATTTTCTTTCTTTCTCTTTCTTCACTTTCTCTCTTTTCCTTCCCTCCCTCCCTCCCTCCCTCCTCCTTCCCTCCCTCCCTCCCTCCCTCCCTCCCTCCCTCCCTCCCTCCCTCCTTCCTTCCTTCCCTCTCTCTTTCTTTCTTTTTTTTTGAGATGGAGTCTTGCTCTGTCATCCAGGCTGGGGTACAGTGGCACCATCTCGGCTCACTGCAACCTCTGCCTCCCAGGTTAAAATGATTCTCCTACCCCAGCCTCCAGAGTAGCTGGGATTACAGCTTGCTTCCAAAAACCCCCTGTCTGTGAACACCCATTTGCAATGACCATCTGCACTTAAAAGACACATAGAGAGTCTTTTAAAAAGACACATACACTATTGCTAGTGTAGGTTTGCTTATGTGGTGATATTGCCAGCGCTTCTATAGCCCTCCAAATTTAGTTTAAAACACTGTTTTAGAGTATTTTTGATTTTATTCTTTCTAGAGGTGATCTACTCAGAAAATCAAACCTGAATACAGCAACATAGAAAAGAAAATTAAGATGTGAAAGAAAGTAGGTTCATCTGGAGTTATAAAGTTATTCTGCAGTCTCCTTGTACACACTCTACCATTATTATGGGAATAAAGACCTGAGATTCATCATAAAGACCTGAGATTGATTACGGAGTCACTGTGAACCTTCCCAGCACAGCTCGTGGATACGCACAGTGCTATTTCTGTCTGTTTCCCTTTGCCATGTACCCCCTGAATCACAGAGTATGAGCGAAAAGGACCTAAAAGCCCCCACAGTTCAGCTCTAATATTCAATAGAGAATAACATCCAAGTATTTTTTCCTGAAGCCAAATATACCCCCAAACGTGTTGCTTTATTTCTTTTTAAACTTAGCTTTTGCTCTTAAAATAATACTTATGGTATATAGAACCTATCGTTGATTGGGTGAGTATTACAGACGTTTTTAAGCTTTACCAAGAATAGGGAAACTATTTCACACCACCATACTATGATTTATAAATAATATGCTTTCATTTTATTTTACCAACTTCCTTGTTAGGGAGTTAGACAAGTGGGTCTGAGGGAGGGACATGGAGGGACAAAGTGCTTGAGCAACCAAAAGAAGTAAGATCCAAGGATCTCAGTGTCTCCCTGCCTTCATATTGCTCTCAGCTCATTCCTTTCTCATGGCACGGGGGGGTTTTGGAAGCTGTGTTCTGGCAGATGTGGCAGGCCTAGCACTCTCTGAATACTAGAGGTACAGAGAACCTTGCCCAAGCAACCTGAGGTGGCGACGAGCATCTACAGAGAGCAGCGAGGGTAGTGATTGGACACACAAGGCTAGAACGTTGATCTGATGCCCTCCACCCCCTACTCCCTGCCCCCAGCCACAGAACTCAATGCTTTTCGTGGAGTATGAGTAAAGCTGAACTGCTGAAGACAGAAACGAGTTCCCATCAAGGTCTCAGAGGTCAATTCAGGAGCGGAACAACAGTACTGTTTTTTCAGAGAGGAAAAAATGGATTGGCTGAGATTTAGTGTCTTTACACATTCTAACTCTTCTCAATATTTAATATCATATAGCCACAGTTCTCTAGAAAAAAATTTGCAGAAAGTGGTATCTTTCCAGGAAAAATCTTTGATAGCTTTCATGGCTGGTTGTATTACATGTTAATAACAATGTAAGTTTACTGGAGCTTGCCTGCCTTTGCCCCCTCACAAAAGTACTTAGCATGTGCCAAATACAGTTTAAACAATCTATCTGCTCTGTTTCCAAGTGCATAGCATCTAAGGTCTGGTCTTCAAAAGTACAAGTTCAAGAGTACCAACTAAACAAAACGTTATACCCCAATTACACAAGTTTAAATAATAATTTAATAAGTTAATGGAATTATGTTTTCTATGAAGAAGGATACAAAATAGAGTGATAACTTTCATATTTAGCAAAGAAGGGGGCCAGGCTCTCATAAAATGAATGGAGACAGATCTTCTGTAATAGTTTCATACCTATCATGAATATTGGAGAGACACGTTATACAATTTCAAGGTAGTGCCACGTTTAGGAATATCTAGCAGTCTATTTGATAAAGAAACATTTCCTTTTATACAAACCTAACAATGAGATAAAGTTGTTTTTTTTTTTGAGACGGAGTCTTGCTCTGTTGCCAGGCTGGATTGCAGTGGCGCAATCTCAGCTCACTGCAACCTCTGCCTCCTGGATTCAAGTGATTCTTCCACCTGAGCCTCCTGAGTAGCTGGGACCACAGGCACATGCCATCATGCCTGGCTAATTTTTGTATTTTTAGTAGAAAAAAACTCAAGTGTCAAAAAAATCCAAATATTTAGTCAAAATGATTATGAAATAAATTGCTTCCTTCATCCAGGTGTAGCCAATTTAAGAGTTTGAGGAAGATGATAAAATTGTTAGTAAACTCAGGGAATATTGAGCTACCAACCTCTGGCACACAAAGTCCTCTGTCATAGGAAGATGAAACAAACATTTTTTTCCCTCAGGATTTTTCTGGCCTTGGATCTAAAATCACATGATTTTTTTGGTACTTGTTAGAAATGTGACCCTTTAATATGAACGTGCAGACAGCCTCCCTCAAATGGTTTGGCTGCAGCAGGGGTGTGTCTATCCAGATCTCACAGACTTTGAATGATTCTCTTTTTTTTTTGAGACAGAGTCTCGCTCCGTTGCCAGGTGCCAGGCTGGAGTGCAGTGGCGCAATCTTGGCTCACTACAACCTCTGCCTTCCGGGTTCAAGCAATTCTTCTGCCTCAGCCTCCTGAGTAGCTGGGGCTACAGGTGCACACCACCATGCCCAGCTAATTTTTTTGTAGTTTTAGTAGAGACGGGGTTTCACCATGTTGGCCAGGATGGTCTCAATCTCTTGACCTCATGATCTGCCCTCTTTGACCTCCCAAAGTGCTGGGATTACAGGTGTGAGCCACTGCACCCGGACCAAGACCTGGGTCCTTCCAGTCATGGACATGGACATGCCCACATTTGAGGACACTGAACTGCCAGAGATGGATGGCAGCAGACTTCTAAAGGGCGCCTCTCTCCCTTTCTACCCCATAAACACACCCACACTGGTTTTTCTGCCTCCCGTGATGTGAAGACTTTTGGATAGAGAGTGTATTCACATTTTAGAAAGTGGTGTTCGTAGTAAACCAGCAGGAACAGACCAGGACACAGGGAACACTGCAAATACAGAGCTGCATACAGGAAAAGAGAAAGTGTGGATCTCATCTACTGTTTGATCAAGTTAAACAAATATCATTGAGTTGCCTTCAAGAAGAGATTTATTTGGTTTGAAGTATTCTACACACAGGCATAGTCCAGTGAAAATGAACAGATTTATTAACACTGATGTAGAGTGGAAGTGCTGAAACGCGCTCACCGAAACAATTTCACTTGACCCTGCTGGCTTATGACCTCAGGGTAGATTAGACATTTACAAACAAAAGCACCCAGGACCTGATTTCTTCCGGTTTCCACCCCCAGTCCTATGCTTAACTACATTTGGGCCCCTAACGACCTTCTCCGCGGAGGCGGAGGGCCAGCTGCATGTCTCTGGGCATAACTGTGACGCGCCTGGCATGGATGGCACACAGGTTGGTGTCTTCAAAGAGGCAGACCAGGTAGGCCTCGCTGGCCTCCTGCAGGGCGCCAATGGCTGCGCTCTGGAAGCGCAGGTCCAGGCTGAGGGCCTGGGCGACCTCGCGCACCAGGCGCTGGAAGGGCAGCTTGCGCAGGAGCAGCTCCGTGGACTTCTGGTACTTTCTGATTTCGCGCAGCGCCAGGGTGCCAGGCCTGTAGCGGTGAGGCTTCCTGATCCCTCCTGTAGGCGGCAACCTCTTTCCTGGGGCTTTGATGGCTACGGGCTTCCTGGGGGCCTGCACAGAGGTGGCTTTGCGGGCCGTCTGCTTGGTGCGCGCCATGGTGTGAGGCCTCGGCCTTTCTCCGGTCCTTGGGCTGAGCCTGGTGAACTGGAGGCAGCGGTGGTTTCAGACAGCAGTGATGGTGGGGCTGTGGACAAAATTCAGAAAGCCTGTGAGTTGCGATCCATGGGCAAAACGCTCCCACAATCGTAGCCCCTGAAACCCAGCCCCAGACTTACCAGCTTGTTGGTCCGCAGGTCAGAGGTTCTGCTGCTCAGTCTCCCGGGGGTCCTGGGCTTCCTAGGTCTGTACACCAGCGGTGAGGAATCTCCCTCCTGGGCGGTCTCGCACTGGCTGGAGATCTCTGTGGGCTCAGCTAAGTCCAGCCTCTTATAAGGGGCTCAGATGATTGCATTAGACCCTTCCAACTACGTTTCGTCGCACTCACTGCTTCACCAGATTCTCAACCTCATCAGGGCTGTGAAAACTCCATCAAGTCCCCAGGGACTTCCCTCCCAAGGGAGGGAGGAACAAGGCCAGCCTCTCAGAAGGGGCTCAGATGATTGCATTCGACCCTCCCAAGTCCAGCCTCCTATAATTGGCTTAGATGATAGCATTAGACCCACCCATCTAAGCTTCACCAGACCCTCAACCTCATCAGGGCTGTGAAAACTCAATCAAGTCTGGAGAGTGCCTTGTAGGAGGGATGGTAGGTGGGTGGGTCACCTAAAGTTCTGGGTGCAAAAGAGAATCTGAAAGTTTACATTTGTCGATCATCATGGAGATATTGACAGTGAAAAACCAATTTTAATAAAGTCGGCAGTTAGCCAAATTACATGTCTGCTCTAAGACACCAAGGCATGAAAACATGAGGTTTTATCATTTTCTTTGAGAATGAAGTGTACTGGTGGGGGGTGGGGGTTATATGGAAATTTGAAATGGTCCCTTCTCTGTCAGGGATTCTCCTGTGATATTTTCTCCCCAAAAGTGACACTCATGAAAATCTTCTGGTAGCCTCCAGCAGATTTGGCTCTGGATAAGCCAAAGATTTCCTGAGAAAAGAATCACATGTGACTGTCACAGATGTTCCCCCCAGCCCTATGAAGCTCCTTTTCCCTTTTGAAGGTGGACGGGATTCCTGTGCTGAGCTATCCTGCCACTGGCCATGATGGCAGCAATGCCATGAGCTCCTGAGAAGCTAGCTTTGAACTCACTTAGCTGCTGACCCGAGGTCACAGGTGAGCTAGGAAAACATTGAAAATATTTTTTTATTTTAATATTTTTAGGGGTAATGATGGTTTTACGTTCCATAGACAAATTGTATAGTTGTGAATTCTATTCAAATACACTCTTAACAGACTTCTGTGGTACCTATAGTCGAAAATAATGCCCAATTCAATGCAGGTATGGCACACAGAACAATAGATTCCATGATATCAGTACTTAGAAAATAAGTTCGCATTAGCATTGTAAAATTAGAGCTTATTATTATTTATTTTGCTGTTGAATTTTTAAAAACTGTGTTTCAATAGCTTTAGGAATACAGCTTGTTTTGGTTCCATAGATGAACTGTGTAGAGTTGAAGTCTGGGGTTTTAGTGCACTCATCACCCAATTAGCTTACATTGTACTTGACAGGCAGTTTCTCCTCTGTCACCCTCTCTCGCCCTCCCCACTTCTGAGTCTCTAATGTTTAGTATACTACACTGCATGCCTTTGTGGACCCACAGCTTAGCTCTCACTTCTAGGTGAGATCCTGCGCTATTTGTTTGTAGATTCCTGGGTTACTTTAAAAAGAATAATGGTCTCCAGTTCCATCCAAGTCCCTGACATAGACATAATTTCATTGTTAATGGCTGAATTGCAGTGCATGATGTATATGTACCCATTTTCTTTTCCTTTGTTTTGTTTTATTATTAAATCAATAGATTTTGGGGAGCAGGTGGTGTTTGGTTACATAGATAAGTTAGTTAATGGTCATTTCTGAAATTTTGGTGTATTAATCACCTGAGCAGTGTAGACTGTACCCAATATGTAGTCTTTTATCCCCCACCCCCTTCCATCTTTCTCCTGGAGTCCACAAGGTCCCTTGTGACATTCTTATGTTTTTTCTTCCTCATAGCTAAGCTCCCACTTGTAAGTGAAAACGTAGGATATTTGGTTTTCCATTCCTGAGTTACTTCACTTAGAATAATGGTCTCCAACTCCATCCAGGTTGCTGTGAATGCCATTATTTCATTCCTGTTTTTGGCTGAGTGGTATTCTATGGTATGTGTGCATAGTGTATATGTATAGGTATATATATGTGTGTGTATGTGTATGTATATGTGTACATATATTTGTGCATGTGTGTGTAAATATATATGACTAGGGAAATGAAATGTGTGTGTGCATATATATATGTATACACATATATTTATATATACATATATATAAAAATGTGTGTATATGTATAGGGGTACGTGTGTGTGTGTATATATATATATATATATATATATGACCAGGGAAATGAAATGTATGTATATATACCATTTATATATACACATATATATACCTATGTGTATATATAAATATATATACATATATATACATATGTATATATATAAATATGTGTGCATCTAAATACACACATATATAGCTAAATATATGTGTGTGTATATGTGTATACACACACACACACACACACACACACATATATATAAAATATTTTCTTTATCCATTCCATTGATGGGCATTTGGGCTGGTACCATATTTTTGCAATTGCGAACTGTGCTGCTATAAACATGCACATGCAGTGCCTTTTTCATATAATGACTTATTTCCCTCTGGGCAGATACCCAGTAGGGGATCGGTGGATTACATGGTAGATCTCTTTGTAGTTCTTTAAGGACTCTCCACGCTCTTTTCCATAGTGGCTGTGCTAGTTTACATTTCCACCAGCAGTGTAAAAGTGTCCCCTTTTCCTCACATTCATGATAACATCTCCTATGTTTTGATTTTTAAATTATGGCCGTTCTTTGCAGGAGTAAGGTGCCTTGGCATTGTGGTTTTGATTTTCATTTCCTTGGTCATCAGTGGTGTCGAACATTTTTTCATATGTTCTTGGCCATTTGTATATCTTCTTTTGATAATTGTCTATTCATGGGATTTTTTTTTCTTGCTGGTTTGTTTGAGTTCTTTGTGGATTCTGAATATTAGTCCTTTATAAGATGCATAGCCTGTGAATATTTTCTCCCACTCTGTGGGTTTTCTGTTTACTCTGCTGATCATTATTATTTTTTTGCTGTGCAGAAGGTTTTTTAGTTTAATTAAGTTCCATCTATTTATCTTTGTTTTTCTTGCATTTGCTTTTGGGTTCTTGGTCATGAAACTCTTCGCTTAAGCTACTGTCTAGAGGAGTTTTTCTGATGTTATCTTCTAGAATTTTCATGGTTTCAGGACTCAGATTTAAATCTTTGATATCCATCTTAAATTGATTTTTTGTATAAGGTGAGAGTTGAGGATCCGCTTTCATCCTTTTACATGTAACTTGCCAATTATCCCAGCACCACTTCGTTGAATAGGGTGTTCTTTTTCTCCTTTATGTTTTTGTTTGCTTTGTTGAAGATCAGTTGACTTTAAGTGTTTGGCTTTATTTCTGGGCTATCTACTTTGTTTCATCGGTCTGTATGCCTGTTTTTTATGCCAGTAACTACAGCCTGTAGAGTAATTTGAAGTCAGGTAATGTGATGCCTTCAGATTTCTTCTTTGTGATTAGTCTTATTTTGGCTATACAGGCTCTTTTACAGTTCCACAGGAATTTTAGAATTGTTTTTCCTAGTTCTGTGAAAAATGGTGATGGAATATTGATAGAAATTGCAGTGAATTTGTAGATCACTCTTGGCAGTATAGTCATTAAAAAAAACAACTGATTCTACCCATGCATGAGCATGGGAAATTCTTAAATGTGTTTTTGCCATCTGTGATTTATTTCATCAGTGTTTTGTACTTTTCCTTGTAGAGGTCTTTCACCTCCTTGGATGTATTCCTAAGTATTTTATTTTTTTGCAGCTATTATAAAAGAGGTTGAGTTCTTGATTTAATTCTTGGCTTTGTCACTGTTGGCGTACAGCAGTGCTACTGATTTGTATGCATCGATTTTGTATCCTTAAACTTCACTGAATTGGTTTACCAGATCTAGAAGCATTTTATATGAGTCTTTGGGATTTTCCAGGTATACAATCATATTATTGGCCAACAGTGACAGTTTGACTTCCTCTTTACCAATTAGGATGCCCTTTCTTTCTTTCTCTTGTCTGATTACTCTGGCTAGGAATTCCAGTACTGTGTTGAATAGGAGTGGTGAGAAAGGGCAACCTTGTCTTGTCCCCCTTTGCAAGGGAAATGCTTCCAGCCTTTGTCCATTTAGTATGACATTGGCTGTGAATTTATCACATACGGCTCTTCTTATTTTGAGGTATGTTCCTTCAATACTTAGTTTGGCCTGATGTTTTCTTTTTTTGTTTTTCTGTGCCACGTTTTGGTATCAGAATGATGCTGATCTAATATTTTGGGATTGTTTCAGTAGGAACGGTACCTGCTCTTTTTTGTGTCTCTGGTAAAATTCAGCTCTAAATCCTCTGGTCCTGCACTTTTTTTGGTTTGTAGGCTATTTATTACTACCTCAATTTTAGAACTTACTATTGGTCTATTCGAGGATTCGATATCTTCCTCATTCAGTCTTGGCAGGATGTATGTGTCCAGGAATTTATCCATTTCTTCTAGATTTTCTAGTATGTGCATAGAGGTGTTTATAGTATCCTCTGATGGTTATTTGTATTTCTGTGGGGTCAGTGGTTATATCCCTCTTATTTCTGACTGTGTTTATTTTAACCTTCTTTTTTTCTTCTTCATTAATCTGGCTAGTGATTTACCTATTTTACTAATTTTTTTCAAAAACTAGCTCCTGAATTCATTGATTCTTTTTAAGGGATTTTGTGTCTATCTTCTTCAGTTGAGCTCTGATCATGGTTATTTATTATCTTCTGCTAGCTTTGGTATTTGTTTGCTCTTGGTCCTCTAGTTCTTTTAGTTGTGATATTTTTAAGTTGAGATCTTTCTAACGTTTTGATGTGGGTATTTAGTGCTACAGATTTCTCTCT